TCATAATTTGAATCTCTGGTGTCAATTGATGTCATAATTTTCTGAAGGCATCATATTTTAAGGATTTCAAATTATTACCTTCTTCTAGACCAGCAAGAAAATCTCTATGTACTGATTTATAACTCATTTCAGCTGGTAAAAATATAACTGATTGAGTTATTCTATGATATTTCTTCCTGGACTTGGTAAGCCATGGACTTCTGCATAATTCTCTAGAAAATTCTTTACTACTTTAGCAATATTTTTATCAATTACCATTTTGGTTTTTCATTGAGGCATTCTTTTAATATTACCATGAATTCTTGGTAAAATACCATTGTTTATCAAATGATTTCTAAGATTCTCAAAATAAGTTCTGCCAATTCCTAACATATTGAGATAAGTTTCTTGACAAAGGAGTGTATTGTGATCCCAGTGGTAGAAAGTTCTTTTATTAGATCTGGTTTTTTTTTAAGGTGCCTACTATCCACCATCCATTGCCTTAAGTTGGGCCATTAAGAATATGTCTTGTTCTACTTTAGAAAGAGTTTGAAAGGATTCCCTTAATTCTGCAAATTCTTCCTAGGAATTCTCAAAGAGCAACTACATTTACAACCTCTTTCTAAAAAATCAATTGCTTTTGATATTCATTAGAACTATTATGATTACTATTACTTTTCATATACACTTATCCATATATATATAGTTTTTATCACTTTGTGGTGCATACAGGAGTGATTTTTTTCATATAAAATTCAATGTTAATTGCAAAAATTTTATTAGTGGTGATGCTTGACCCCCCTGAAGTTACATAATGTCCTCTGACTAATAATGTATATGCATATACTAAATTTATTAGGAAAAACCTGCAAGTTTTGTTATAGATAAGTTTAAATTTATTATTTATAAAATATCAATAATTGTCAACATAAAAGGTTAACAGATTTTTTAAAAATCACTTAGTAAGTGTGGATTGAATTTGGTTATCTTGTGCTTTGTTTCTACATTTTCTTTCACACCAATCATATCAAAAAATTCAACATGTATTTCAGTGTAATGAGGTAAATTAAGTATATAAAAAACACTTGTAAAATGAACAAACAGTATAATAGGCATTTTTATGAAATTTCAGTATAGAGGGTAAATTTATATGAAAAAAAATTTTTTTTCATCTTGATGGATTTCAGTATAGATATAATTTCAGTTTTATTGTAATCAAAATAAAAGATTAAAGTTCATTTAACAAGCAATATTTTATGCCAATTGACTAATAAAAAAATCTAAAATAGTTGCTTCAGTGAATCAATCAGCCCCTGATAATCTAATTCATAAGCCATTCTATGCATTCTCTTCCACAATTTTGATACAGAATGAGAACACCAAAAATCAGCAAGATTTCCTGCATAACCCTCATGATCAAAGGTAAAATGTTGATTTGATGAAGTCAATAAAAAGTTAAAGGCAAATAATATATTAGATTGTATAATGAAAAACCAAGCCTATGTATTAAAAACATTCAATAAAGAAATACTATATTAATTTTTTTATAAACATTTTATTTTTATCATTCCCTCCGATATTAATATTAATATTAATATTTTGTTTTTCAAATTTGCGTAACGATTTTCAAGCCAATAAAATTTAATTGTTGCGTGATATCTGGAAGGGAGATCGTCACAAAATTTAGCCAATGAAATCAAATGTCCACTATGATAAATGAAAAGGACCGACATATTTTAGTGAATTTTTAATTGTAGAAATTTAAAATGACAAAACATCCCGATTTAATTGTAAATCTTTGTTTCAGGAGGTGAAATGAAGCCACGTTCACATTATCGGGAGAATGAAGAGTAAAAATGAGATACAACTGAATCGATATACTATCTATATATTAAAGTCTTTGAAGCATTGTGACTTAGTAAATTATTTATCATCATCATAATTATCATATATTTGCTTTAGTGTTATTATTATTATATTTTGAAAATATAATATAATAGTTTATTGAAAGATATACTTGACCGATTAAGGTTTTTTTGGCCGACGCCAACCTCTAAATCAGTTAGATTCATTTTATTTATTTTTTTATATTATTATTTGAAGATTACAAAGGAAAATAGAAATAATAAAATAAATGCAGATTTATGAACAGGCAGTAAATTTGCTACGTATTTTTTCCATTTCTGCGCTTTATCCAAAGGTACCATCTACAAATAAATAAACATATTCAAAACTATTCCAAGTTTTTTTAAAAGTATATATAATGAGGTGTTTCTTCAAAAAACAAAAAATTTTCTTTACAAATTTACTACCATTGTTTTTTCTAATAATAATAAAAATAAAATTTCACCAAAAAATTATGTCAATTAGATATTGACTCAGAATTAACAATCACGATTATTACTATTATCATCACCATCATTAAATGATTTAATATTTAAATACTATTAGTTTACAGACTCATGCTAAAAAAATAAATAATTTACAAGAAGTAAAAAAAGGGAATATTGTTTGGAGGTATTTCTTTAAATGAAACCTCGTCAGAAGTTCAAGCAAGATGCATGAAATATTAATGATTAATCTAACTCATTACTCCGAGAGGTTGTTCAGCGTTTTTGGTAATAATATTACCAATAAACTTGAAACCAATTATTATTGTTTGATCTTTGGCTGAGTCCAATCTATACTGCCATCCATAAAATGATCTGGGTGTTAGCTCAAAAAATATCATCTAAAGGCAACAAAAGAATCTACACCATTGAATAGTCAAAAATGAATTTATTCAATATGTGACTATATACGAATCACTGACAATTTACACAACTGGGTTAATGCGTGTAAAATTATTGTTAGATTGGAAGATTAATTACAATCTAAAGAGCATAGTCATGGAGAAAAGTTGTTCTTAGAGAGACGTCATGATTTGTGGTGGCCATGACTCTTAAATATTAAATCCACCACATTCCTTTGACAATTTGTTTTTCATGACCAAAGCATTCAAAGGTTGTTTTTATTATATTACATTTTTATTTATTCGCAATTACTTGTTTTGAAGAACTTCAGGTGCAATATATGGTACCGTCACCAAGTTGACATGAATTCAATTGAATAAATAAATAATCTTTGAGAATACTCAAATTCATTTCTAATTAATTGATAAATGCTAATAGAGGCAAGGCAACTGATCCGATTCTAAGAATTCTGACATAAGCTCTTCCAATATTTAAGTCTTATCATTTGGTGCGAGTTGCGCGGACTATAAATTCTTTACATTAATTTTTATTTTTTCAGGAACCTTCTACACAAATCATTTACTAATACTAACACTAAGGATACCTGATGCAATTTAATTAAGATACGGAATACTGACATTGACATTTTTCAATATTTTTTATATAAAATAGCTATCGGATATAATTATGGCAATTATTAAAGTTAATTATTATTACTATATATTAATGATTTTTTTTTTTTTTGTAGAAAACGAAGAAAAATGGATTCACAAACACTTTCGGTTTGACGGGATTGGCCATGTATTACTATTACTATTTTTTCGAATTCTCTTTACATCACCGTAAAGTCCTCTTTGAAAAGTTGTTAGTGTGTGCGATGTGATAAAAATAAAATAGATGCTTTATTTTAGTTTTTATGTAATGTACATTTATATGCATGTATATGCAACAAAAAAATTTTTTTAATTTATATTATTAAGAATTTTCATTGTTATTGATATTGTTACCATTGCCATTACCATTGCGATTAGTAGCATTATTGTTGGTGGTAGAATTTTTTCTGGATTGGAAAGCTTGCTTAAATTTATCAGTAATACCTTGACCTGCAACTACTACCCTGAATCTAAACAATGTGCTCAACCAATCTTCCAAATTTGCTTTCTTTTTACCATTATTGCCCTTTTTACCGCCATTATTATTATTATCGTTATTATTATCATTGTTATTGTTATTGTTATTATTACTTCCTCCAAAATGTTCACACAATTGATCAAATAAGTTTTGAAAAAAATCTTCCCAATCTTCTCCCATCATTGCTATCCTTTCTCTAACTCCATTCTTCACTCTTCCCCAAACTCGTGAAGTAAGAAATATTCTACATGTATCGTCATAAAAAGTAAGCAAAAATGATGTACAAAATATTATCCAAAGAACCGTTATACAAAATGAATATATCATGATTAATGAAAAGAATTGTGCCGTTGTTGATGAAAATATTCTTCTTGGAATATTGAATGGCCGAAGAATTCCACCCTCATCATTATCATTATTGGTGTTATTGGAATTGGCACCACCATTAATATTAATATTACCACGAACATCACGATTATTTCTATTGACATTATTAGTTGTATGATTTAATCCATGTGTAAATGGTGGTGGATGATAGCCAAAGTCATTTGTTGTATCATCATAAATTTCATATAACGAAGGTGGTGGTGAATTTGTTCGTGGTGACATATTTTCTTTCACTTAAATTTGTGTATATATATCTCTATATAATAACAATGAATGTATGAATGAATGAATAAATCTTTTCAATTATTAAAAAATCTGCACTTAATAATTCGAGACCCAATGCAAAAGAAATTAATGCTAAAACTTACATGAAAAAATGAAATAAATAATCTCAACTATCACAATACCGAATTTTAATTTAAATGATAAGTTGGCAAGTTAAATAAATTATAAAAATATATTATTTGTTTGTTAAGGAAGAAAAAAAAGATTTCTTTTTTTTTCCTATACAAAAGTTGTTTTCAAGCAATTCGAGCAATTTGTACTTCAGGGAATTACCAGGTTATATCATATATGTTACACCGATATAAAAAAACAAATCTTTGAAAAATACTTTATGGAAAATAATTTATCAGCTTCCAACAGTAATAATGATAATAATAATTTTGACGAACATGATGAGAATATAATAAGAAATGAAAACCTATCTACATCAAGATCAATTATAGACTCTGAAGATTTACAATCCGAGGACGACGACAACGACGACGACAACAACAACAACGACAACAACAGTAATAGTAGAAGTAATAGTAGAAGTAGTAATAATAGTAACAATAGTAATAGCAATATTAATGGTGACAATAATAGCAATGATAATGATGGCAATGACTATAGTGACCTTACCACTAATGACATTACTACCATTAGTAGCAATTTGTCTAATTTGTCAGATCTTACTTCTGATACAACACCTTTAAAGATTACAGAGCTAAAAGAGGAGGACGAAGGCAACGAAGGATTTATGATAGAATTGGAATTAAACAAAGGCAGCAATATGAGATGTTATACTTATGGTGAAGAAGTGCCTGCTCTTCCTAGTAATTTAGTTGTCACTAATGAAAATACAAGTCAAGGCAATAAAAACAAAGGTTTATCAAGTGATGAGGCATTAGAGTGGGTATTGGGCGCAAATTATTATTTATGATTGTATATATATGAGCATTGCTATTAATAATGATAATTAATATCATTACAAATATTATAGTAAACTTATTAAAGTAGCTAATGAAATATTGGAAGAACATCAAAGTCATGTACCAAAAAAAATGTGTGAGGGTTTCTCTTTTCTTAATTTCTTAAATTTTTCAATTTATCTAATCTAATCATTCATTCATTCGCTCTTTCTTTATCCTTTTCCCTTCCATTCTCTCATATCCTTACCCACTCATCCACAAAATAATCTAGACATTAAAGAATTCATTTCTAGAGTTGATGTAATTCTTTCGATTGTTTCATCTTTGTTGATGTTTACCTTTTATATTTACGGGATAGTTGTTAGCGATCCTTATCAATTCCGTTTAACCTCACTTCTAATCGAAGCAATTTTAATCTTATTGATGATATTATTTAATGGGTATTTGTACACCAAAGAAAAAAATTTAGGTACCATTGAAATTTATGAGCATGCAAAAATCATTATTGAACAATTGAAAAATAGTGGGATGAATACCATTCAGGTACTTAATCATGTTCATGATTAATTAATTTATGATTATTTATGATGATGATAATAATTAAATATTATTATTATTGTTGTTGTTGTTAATAGCATTAATGATATGTATTATTAATAATAAAATACCATTTACTTATCCATTTTTCTTGATTATTAGAACATTAAAATACCATTTGTTCCATCTTTGACTGCAGCAAAAGTCGTACGCGATGGTTTAGTTCGTAGTTTTCCATCCACTTTATTGGTGAAGGGTGACGTTATCGAAATGATTTATGGTGATATTGCCCCTTGTAGAATAAAATTAATTTCCCAAGAACATATTAACATTGATCTTGATGACCATCTTGATAATAACGAACAAGCTCCTTCATCGTCAACATCAACTACTATGCCAAAAAGAACTAATATCCTTGAAGCCAGGCAAGCATTTAAACCATCATTTTTTGGTGATATACCTTCACAAATTGTGTGGGAACAACATTTAAAAAATAAAGGAATGTACCAATTTACATTGTTGGAAACTCCTTGGGCAAATTGTTTAAGCGCTGCTCTACAACAAAAACGTCCATCTCCTGTCATCCTTAAGCAAGCAGAAGTTCTTAACAATGTTATGCACAAAATACTTTTCATCATAGTAGCAATCGCCCTTGCAATAAATTTTCTCAGATACATCATCATAGATGTTGGTCAATATCGTTTATTTGACCAAGCATTTGAAATTTTGATAGTGTTACAACTTTATGCTATTTTGCCAATGTTGCCATTATCATTTCTTACCTTATGGATAATAGTAAGAAGTTTGGCAAATGCCACTATTTTAGTATTGTTTGAAGCTCTTCAGATATCTAAAACCGAATATGAGGATGATGAAGAAGTTGATGAGTTTGATGCTGAAGCCCCTCCACCTACAAAAAATGTACATTTGGATTTTTCTGCTGTTTGGAGCAAGTTTTGCTATTTGTTGTCAAAATGGGATGGTACATCGCTTACTCGTTCAACAAATTTGTTTGAGTCATTGGGTAGTACAACTGTAATTTGTTCGATTGATCGCGAGGGAACTATATCTCACCCTTTCACATCTGTGGATCAGTTGTTGTTTCCTGATGAAAATGGTGATATTACAGTTTTGGATGTTGCTGAAGATCCAAGTGCTCCTTTTGGTGTAAAATTTGAAGATCAAGACTGGCAACAACATCTATCGTATGTCTTTTTTCTTTCTCCCGAATTTCCCATCCTCCCGGAGCTTCTTTAAATATAATAATAACTAATAAATGTGGTTGCATGCATGCATGCATACATGTATGTATATATATCAAATAGACGGCTTAAACCATTAGGACTTAATCTATTACTTAATACAAATTGTGGTGTGCTAAAAGGCCGTGAACTAACAGAACAGCATCGAAAATACTCCAGTTTATACCTTAATGCTAAAACTAAGCCTTCAAGACAAAGTAACTTAATCATTATTATATCTATTGTTATAAATATGACTTTTCAAGGATATCAAGTGATATATATTTTATTTCTTTTGTACTATATATAATATTGAAGCTTGTATGTGTAGATTAGGAAAAGAAATAGGGTTTACTGTGGATGCATTGCAAGTATTTTCAAAAAGAAAAGAAATTTTTACATGTGCACCATGTCATCCATCATTAAAAGAACGCGTTAGAAATGATAGATGGGAAGTTCCTAGCATGATATCTTCTATATATGAAGAAACTGATGCAGGTAATTTTAATGTTGTAAATATATACGCGTGATTATAAATACGATTTATGTATTTGATTTTTTTTTTTTTGGCGGTGTTTACGTTTTAGGGAGCTATCAGTTGTTGTCGGATGGAAATTTAGAAATAATTCTCGATAATTGTTCAGATTATTGGGATGGACAAGGTCTACGAGCAATGAATCAAGGGGTACTTATTTAATTATAATATTTTATTATATATATATATATATATGAATATTTGATTGATATTTTTATCTCCTTTTTCTTTTCCTTCCATCATTGATCAACCATTCATTTATTTTGTTTATAGATTTTAAACAAAATTTATGATTGTTATGAAAATGCAATTGTAAATGATATGCAAATAGTAGCATATGCATATCGTCCAATTAGTGTCGAGAACAATAATCGAATTCCATTTTTGTCTAAAGCACCGACTGATTCACATTATTTTGTTTTACCAAATGTACCAGATGAACAAGAGATAATATCTTCATTAGAGGTACAGGAATTGTTATCAGAAGATCCTGATTTGTCAAGGTCACAATTGATTAGATTGCATCGTTTAAAAACTGGACAATTGGATGCGAATCTTCATGACTTCTCATTTGAGGATAATGTTTCAAGAGAAGATGAAGAAAAATTTTATCAGGACGTTATCCAAGGCCAAATATTCCTTTCTATGGCCACTGTTTTTCATCAACCAAAATTAGTATGAATTACTCTTTTTTTTTGTATAAGCAATTATTACAATTATTGATAATTGTTGATAGGATTGTTAACGATTTAATTAATTTCATATTAATGTATAGGATGTTTGTAATTTTATTGAGGATTTGAAGTTGGCTGGTATACGTTTTGTTTTATTTTCACAAACTGCAGAAAGAGAGAGCAAAGGTTAGTTATTATACCAATTTGTGTCCCTTTATATATTATTTTATTTTAATGTCTCATCAGATATATATATTATGGTGATGATCTAGCATATGCTGAAAGATTGGGTCTTGAAACAGATTGGAATAGTTGTATATTATTATCATCTTCTGGTGATGAAAATTCATCTGGTGATGGTTATTTGGAACCACATGATATAAAAGCACGGTTACCACGTGGCATTGAGAATATTAAAGATCATTTAGAAGACGTTGATGATATTCCATTACATGTTTCTTTATTTGCCGAATGTACACCAGAAGCAAATCTTGAAATGATAAAGATTTTTCAAGGGTATGGTGAGGTGGTTTGTTGTATTGGTAGCGCACTAAACTCTTTTAATACACACGCATTTGCTGCAGTATGTATATTTTTAAATAGTAATATTTAAATGTAAAGATGTGATCTATATATCTATTATTTATGTTGAAATTTTTTTATTGTAATTTAGGCAGATGTAAGTGTTGCAATGGAACCGACACATACCAAAGCACAAACTAAAAATGGACTTTGTCATTATGGGATTAAAGGACAATCGCCTATGGCATTAGGAGCATCATTTACAACTTTGCCATGTGGACTATTTATGCATTACGATACTAGTCTTTATGCTTTAACAGATTTGATTCGTGAAGCAAGAAGATTAATTAATGGCTTAAGATTGGTATACTGCGATATACATATATTCATACATATATTCTTATATTCAATCATTAACGACACATATTCATGAATTTTATACTAAATAATAGGGAGTTGCATTTATGATTGGATCATTATTATCAATTTCTTTACTTTTGCTATTATCTTATTGTTTTTTTTTGCCTCCAGTATTTACTGGATATCAAATATTATGGATTATGTGGGCAATAATACCAACATTGACATTTTCATTTTTGTTTAATCCACACGAATCTGATACAATGACTACAATGACTGGTAAATTACTCTTATTATTTATAACTATAAAATTTTTTTATTTGAACTTCAAATTATTTATACTTATTTCATTATCATTATGGTCATGTAAAAAAAAAAAGTCAAGAATAATGAACATTTAAAAGATTTACCAAGATTTTTGGTTTATTTCTTTTTAAGATTTTCATTGCCTGTATTATTTTGTCTAGGAGCATTTATAATGTATGTAAAATTATTATATATATTGTATCATTGCTATTGTTTCATGTAACGTATATTTATTAATCTTTCTAAATTATTATATATTAATTATAGATGTTTGTATTATTTTGATGAAAGATCAGACGTGTCTTTAATATTTGGATCTTATGGAAATCAAGGATGGTTGAGATGGAGTAATAAAGAACAATGGGTGGTTTTTTATTCACAAAACTGTACATTATTTTTATTTGTTTGGTATTTAGGTAAATTTAATCTTGAATTTTTTTTTTAATTTGAAAAATTTTAAAACATAATAATTGATAATAACAATCGATGATTTGTTGTTTAATGTTCAGCATGTATTTCCTGTACGTTTGTACACAGAACAAAATCATTGAAAGAATTTATCCCTTTAAAAAATAAAGTTTGGATAATTGCATTTTTTGCATGGTAAAGTAAATTAAAAATTAATAACTTATTTATTTTTATTTATTTTTATTGCTATTTACTTATAACTCTTTAATTCTTCCTAATCCATAGTATTACGCTCCAAACAATATTTACACTAATATCGTTATTACTATCATCATATTCTTTCTTGCAAAATATACCAACCTATTTCTATACAATTGCATTTTTATCTCCAATAATTTTCATACCAATTCAAGAATTAGTTAAATTACATGATAATAAAGAGTACACCAGATTTCAGAAAAGGTCTAAATTGGAATTTAATACTAAATTAGGTATGCATTCTCCTGTATAATTGTTAGTTATATGTTTGTGTGTTTAATTATATAAATCTAGTGCTATGTTATTCACCATTAAAAAAAATAATAAAATATGCATTGTTGTCTTTATCATCTCTTGAAAAATCTTTATCTCTCCTACTCGTGGATAAAGTTTAAAAATGTATATTAATAATAAATGCGATGAATATCACGTGTCCGAAAGAGGCCAATCAGGTTTTATGAGGCGTGTAAATATAACTTTGCGCGCTTTGTAGTCGGACAAAAATAGCGTGTTAAAAGTTTCATTTATCGTATATTTATATATATAACACGTTACTAGTCCTTGCATCCCCCATCGAATTATCGATATATGTTAGAATTGTCAAACAAGGAAAAATAATATTTTTATTCGATAAACCAAAGGAAAACAAAGAAACCAAAAAACCTCGAGACAGAGAGAAATTTGAAAGCTTTTCTAGTTAATTGTTTAACTTTGTTTGTTGTTTAACTTTGACTTCTATTTGTATTTGTTTATTACTCAATAATTTCCTCCTTGCCACCAGTGTTGGAAATTCAGGGTGCGCAGGGTGCGCGCGCAGCATGTTACACCAAAATTGTGAAACATTTTATGTG